CGCTTTAATGGGCCAGGAGGGGCACGGATCCAGGCTGCAAGTGGTTGGGCGCACAGATGCAAGCACTCTATCAACTTCCTCCAAGCTGAGTCGGTCAAAACTTTCCAACCCCGGCAAAGCCGTGCAAGGGGCCTCGAGTTCGCTTACTGTCTCAACTGTGGTGGGGAGGTCACGGCGGAGCGTCAAGACTTTATCCACAAAATAGCTCACAAAAGCCTCACAGCCAATATCCAATTCCCTATTGTTTTGTCTGCCCTGTGGCAGAGGTGTCAATGACCGAATCGTTCTAAATAATTGGGCCGGGCGTGAGCTAGCAGACGCAACCCTGGCTGCGTAGAAATCTCTCTTCGCAGCCTTGACTGCCATCTCGTAGGATCTCATAAACGTCCTATAAGATGCTCTTGTAGCTTCATCAACGGCTTGACGCCACCGTCTCTCTAACCGTCTGAGCTCCTGTTTCATAAGCCGTAGCCCCTGGGTATACCAGGGGGCCAGCTTAGAGCGAGGGCGCAGAGGGCGCCGGGGAGCGATCTTGTCGATGGCCATGGAAAGTCGGCTATGCCAGTCATCCAAGAGCTCATCCAACGAACCGTCAGGGGGCATCGGATCCCGCAGAGCCATCTGAAACCGCATATGGTCCATTAGGCTCCGTGGGCGAGCTAAAATCCGCTCGCCGCCTAAACAGAGTCGGGGCGGGATATTTACACGAGCTTTCAGGGCATAGTGGTCCGACCATGGTACCGCTGTCACAGTAATCCGGTCCACCGTGCTCCCCGCCATGAAGATCAGATCGAGCATGTGTTCGGCCTGACGCGTGGGGGTCGATACCCATTGGGAGAGTCCTAGCGATGCCATGGACGTCACCAGATCTGTAGCCCGACTCGAGGCTGTGTCATCAGCGTGGACATTGAAGTCACCCAAGACCAAAAGCCTACGGTGCTCCAACGCCCAGCCTGCTACGGCCTCCAGTAGGGACAGCAGACTACTGGCCAGTGCGTTAGGCAGACGGTACAGACAGTGCGTTAGGCCAGATCGCCAAACTCTCCTCGGCCTCCAGCACCATACCGACACACTCCAGTTCCAGTTTTAGTTTATTGTCTTAGCCATTGGCCATAACAACACAAAATAAAGCAAAATACAACAAACATTATACATCAAAGTGGGGTAAACCCTTCAATAACTTTCAGTAAGTCCTGGACTCAATCTTATCTTTTTTGCCGCCAGTGCAAACAAGGCCATTCTGCTCGTAACATGTGCATCAATATCAGATAGCAAGAAGACAGTCAAATCCTGGTCTGAAATTCTATTATGCAATGGTACAATAGGATAAATAAACCTTTGCCTAAGTGATTCGTGCCATGAACATCTCAGGATGTAATGCTCGACATCATCCACTTCGCCCACACCACACTGGCATATTCTAGAGGCAGCAGGGGCACCCAGAAAGCGGCCAAAACAAACCATTGAAGGTATGGCGTGGAACCTTAGTGTAGTGAAAGCCCTTCTTAGCTCCAGAGTAGTTAATTTCTCAAGATATGCAGTCCTACAATGATCTGTCTTAAAGATCTTATACAAGGGGGCTGTACGGCAACTTACCACCCCATGGCGGTTCAAAAGCCCATCCTTGTTAAATACCCATTCCTTCAATTTAGACTTTTGACTTCCACTGACCAATAAGTCATTGGGGATTGAGTATTTCAATAAAATAGAGTTCAAATGATCACCTAATCTTTTTGAGGATTTCAACAACACTCCAAAACTTTGAACACCTAAGATATCCTGAGGTCGTTCTAAACATTTCCTCCAATAAGAGAGGATTCTTACATTTACCCTGGCTTTCAGAGATACCATACCCAGTTCAGCCCTCATCAATGCCATAGGTGCACCTTTGGGTAAAACCAAGATCCGCCTCATAAAGTAATTTTGCACGGTTTCTAGCAGGGACAACAACGATTCGTCCCAACCCCAAATCTCTACCCCATACAATATTGCTGAGATTATCTTGCTCATGTATAGTTTAACAACCGGTTCAATCATACCTCCACCCCCAGAGAAGTAAAACTTTAGCAAGGCCCCTAAGTTATTCATGGCAGCGGTCTTCAATTGTGTGATATGGGGACGCCAGGAGAGGGTTTCTGAAAAGATTATACCCAGATATCTATATGTGCTACATTGCTCAATTGGTGTGCCAAGGATGCTTCAAACGGATTTCTTGGGTCTTTTCCTAAAAACTAGAACTTTGGATTTGGCGTAGTTTATTTGCAGGGCTTCTGCCCTGCAATACTCGCCCAATTTATTAAGCAACCTCCTCAACCCAATCTTGGTTACAGAGAGAAGAACCATGTCGTCCGCATACAAAAGAATTGGAACTTTGTAATGCACCATTTGTGGGAGAGCAGGCAGTGGTTTCTGCTCATCCTCTCCTCTCACTGCAGAACCCACACATACACACTTTTACTGCCCCCACGCTGTCCCTGCTGAGCACTGGGGACAAAATGGGGGTGGCTCAGTGGGCTGCAGCATGAGGGGCCAGCAGGGAAGTCCTGCTCCACGGAGACGGCGGGTGATTGGATGCCCGCATTCTGCCTGCAAATGTACACATTTTTCATTTGTCAATAAATTTGCATTATACATTGACATAAGCATTATACATCAGTATGCATGCAAATAATGTACGTTGTACATAGAAATTGTTTATAAAATCCATACATTGTGAGTAAATAATACATACTGAATCTGCAAATGAAGTCAAAAGCTGAGAAACCCACATCATCCAATAGAAACGAATGTGTAAGTAAATTATATAGAGAATATTCTCTTCTCCCTAAGGATACTATATGCACCTTTTGGAATTCAGAGATGCCATTGTTCCAGGTCATGGGTCCCACCACCACTGATGTTCTTGTGCACGAATAGAGCCTGGGTTTGAGGATAGGAGACTCCTGCAATGGAGCATGAGTGCAGTAAATGCATTTTGTTTCAAGGTTGGCATGGAAATGAATGATCTTGACCAGAGCCTCAGAGAAGCCCAGAGCTCCTTGGAGAGGGACATTGCGACCCTGAACAATCTGCTCCTCAATCTAGGTAAGCTGTTGATACCCTGCCGCTTTCATTCCTGTTTACTGGAGCCCAAAGGGAGGTCCCCAGCAGATCAAAAGAGGGAGATAAAGCAAGGCCAGAATACTGAAGATTCTAGGAGCCTATAAGGAAGATTCCTAGCTGGCTAGTGGTTTAACAGCAGGCTACTTTCCCACCCACAGAGAGAAACGTTCAGGCACTTGCTGGGGGAAATTTTGAATGCAGAAATGCTGGGAGCCAAGCAGCTTTTCTGCCATCTCTGATCAAATTTCCAGTCTCTTATAAAAATGCCTGCAGTGTCTGCAAAAAGCTGCACCAATAGCACATAATGTGAAGTTTAGCCATTAGCTAGTGATTATGGACCACTATTCTCTCTTGCAGGATTCTTAGCACTTCCACAAGGTGGCAGCATCCTCCTTTTGGACAAGCATATTCTTCTAAAAGATGCCAGTGCTGTGCTTAGATCTGAGTGAATGGCTGATTCTGCATCTGGCATTCGCTCCACATTTTCTCAACACTGAGGAAAAAATGCAGTTCAAAACCACATTCAAATACCCAGGGCAATGCTGTACTGACTGCAAAGTCACCCCTTAACGGCCATAAATCTATGCAGAAGGTACCATACAATCCGATGATCAAAGAAAGTGAAAGCAGCTTGCAATGCAGAGGGGAATTTCTGTTCCAAAGTGTGGGTTTGGCAAAACAACGGAGGGAAAAGCCAATGCAAAATCGCCCAGTGTCCCTTGTTCTGCTTGCCCTGCCTTTGTTTGGTGTGTAGAAATTTAGATGGAGACATTTTTCCTGGCATGGAGTAAGTGTGAAAAGCCTCAAGAAGCTTGATTTCTGACTGCAAGGCTGCTGTTGGAAAGCTGGTGGTTTCAGGGCTGACGCTGGCTGTTGGATCAGTCTCCAGAGTCTTTCATTTCCCCACCAATGACAGCCAGAGCAGGGTCAGGAAAATGCAGAGCAGGGCCAGGGAGATGGAACAAACTGGGAAGTGATCACATTTTAGGAGGAGAGGCGGGGGGAGGGCTTGGATGCAGAGTTGCCATTTTCAGAGGCAGCCCTGTGGAAACTGTAACACTGTCGTTCTGCTTGGTGCAGGCAGCCTGGATCCCACTAGCCAGACAGAAGCAGCACTGAACGCGAGCGAGTTCCAACTGGAGCGTTTGCGGCTGCACCTGGCTGGGCCCGGAGCCCTGGGGCAGAAGCTGAGGGCCTTGCAGCAGGAGGCTGAGCAGCAGCAACAGAGGATCGAGGCTTTTGAGAAGGACTTGGAGGAGATCCAAAGTGACAGATACAACCTGGAGGCCATTCTGCAAAGCTTTCCTGAGGGGTGCTCGAGTGGGCGGTGAGCAGGTTGCTGTAAGCATACCCGTCCACCCTGCTTGGGACTGTGAGGGGCAGACGTGGACGGAAGCCTCTGTGGACATCAGGCTTAAAACAAACCCGGAGTTTCCAGACAGGGCCCGTACAATTTCAAGCATAGCTTTGCAAACATTAAAGACTGAAACTTTAACATGTGAGATTTTCAGAAAGCAGGAATTTACAGCTTTTCTGCACTTCATTTTTTGTCTGTATCTCAGCACGGTTTCTGGTCAAACTGCTTTTGCACATATTTGTACCATTTCAGAAAAAGCCAAAACCAGCTTCCCCCAAATGGGGCAACAGGATTTGCCTTCGCGTAGCAAGCCCCCCCGCCCCCCATCTTCTGTTGCCTTCATGCAGTTACCAAGATTATCTTTTTTAAATGTTTGATTTTTAGGCATTCCAGAAGCATGTAACAGGATGCGCAAGGTAACTCATTTTGTGTGGGTGGAGCAAATGTGCATAATTTTCCATGTGTGAAGGAACCCCAGTTTTTTGAGGGAGTGCATTTGTGCACACCAAAGCTCCTTGCGCATGAAAAGTATGCTCCTTTTGCCCCATTCACCGAAAAATGGTGACTGTATATCAATCGGATGGCACATAGTATGCATGGTTGGAGCACTGAAATCGAACACCTGAGAATGGCTGACAGCAGGCTGGGATCGGAGCTAGTGCCACAGAAGCAATGAAAGGATGTTGCTCCCATCCGTCTTCCACAGCCGTCTTCCACAGCTTTTGTGCACAGCCTCCACCACCCTCACTACATTCAAGCAGGGATCAGCTTTCCAACGTTGGCACGCTGCCCTCAGCACAGAATGGGAATCAGCCCACCACAGTTTGCCATCTGCAGGAGATGCCAAAAAGGCAAAAGCCCGGACTCCTGCAGCCCATCAACAACACGCACGTGGCATCTTTTGAACAGCCAATTTGATTCTAGTTAATTTATTCCAAAAAGAAAGAGTGAAGAAGAGAGAAGAGATTGGATTTATGCCCCCACCCTTCGCTGCCCAAAGGAGTCTCAGAGCAGCTTAAAATCTCCTTTCCCTTCCCCTCCCCACAACAGACACCCTGTGAGATAGGTGGGGCTGAGAGAGCTCTTTCAAGGACTGCTCGTGAGAGAACAGCTCTGAGAGAACTTGTGACTGACGCAAGGTCACACCAGCAGCTGCATGTGGAGGAGTGGGGAATCAAACCCGGTTCTCCCAGATTAGAGTCCATGCTCCTAACCACTACACCAAAATTTTGTAAATATGTTTGGAAATACAGGACTCAACTCTGTGCCGTTGCATGCCATGATTCCTTTTAACAGACCTTTTTCTCAAAAATAAATCTTTAAAAAAAATTTAAATTTTTTTTTAATTTAATTTTTTTTTAATTTAATTTTTTTTTTTAAAGTTTGATGATGGAATGTAGCAGAAGAAAACTCATGTACACCAGCATCTCTGCTCTCATCATCCGTATGGTTAATGATCCAGTACTCTGGAATGTTTCATGCAGAAATTGCTTGTGTGGGAAGGGTGGGCAACCGGTGGTCTAGAAGCTCAGTCCAGCCCCCTGGGGCAGAGCTCCTGATCCCCTTTATCCTGCATGGGAGCAACTTTCCTTTGAGTTGAGAGACACCAGCATGGGGCTCCTCCACCACCTTCTCCCTGGAGTGATTCTGTTGTTGTTTGCAGTCTGTCTCCCAGGTGCTCTCAGTGTCTCTCTGTTTTCACCCACCCTTTCTCCAAGGAGCTCAGAGGGGCATCCGTGGTTCTCTCTTCCCCATTTCCTCCTTGCAATAATCCAGTGAGTGAGGGGAGGATGAAAGGGGCTAAGGTCACCCAGTGAGCTTCAAGGCCGAACAGGGATTTGAACTGGGTTCTTCTGGACCCTGGCCCAGCACTTTAGCTTCTACACCACACCAGCTGTAATTAGCACTTTGCATGGCCTTATGAAATTTCTCACCAGTGCCCTGTGATTTCAGATGTGGTGATGGGAAACAGAGTGGCATAGAAGATGGCTTCAGTCTTCATTGGGTACAGGAAAACTTGACTGCTTTGTTTTCTCCTGTGGCCTGCATAAAGCTGAACACACTTGGATTCCAGCTCTCGGGCAGCAGAGCCGGCTGATGCACTGCATGGATCCCTGCCCTGTCCATGATCCAGTGGTCTTCATTTTCAAGGCAGCAGTGCAACTGGACAGTTCCAAAACGTCACAAAACCCACTCCTCCTCCTTGAACTCTGGGTTTATGATTTCACAAAACCCACTCCTCCTCCTCCTTGAACTCTGGGTTTATGATTTCACTCAGAAAGGGAGACAAGCAACCGCCCCTCCCCTGCCACTGTCCAAAAGAGGCACAGAACATTTCTCACTTCTTGGAAGCCAATGAATGCGAAGTGCTTGGGGCATCACTCCATTAGCACAGGAACGGATCCCTCATTAAGGCAAACAAAGGGGGAAATATTGGGAAATGACAGTGCTCACAGTGCCTGGTGGGGGCGAGGGCATTGGTATTTGCAGGGGTCTTGTAGAAAAAAAGAGCTGCCGGAGCTCATTAGCATAACTCATTAGCATAACTTATTTGCATATGCCACGCCCCCTGACATCACCGGAAGTGACAGAAGGCCACACCCCCTGACATCACCGGAAGTGTGTCAGAAGGCCCGGCTACTTACCCTCCTGCTTCATCCTCATTCCCAAACGGAATGAGGATCGAAGCAGAGGGCGGGGTAAAGAAGGGGCGGGGCTTCACCACGTGACCGCCCCACCCCCTAGAGGTTCTCTTCCGGAGCTCCATACCTGAGAGCTCCCCCCCGACTAGAGCCCTGAAGATAAATGAAATGAAGGGATCACTGCAAAAGCATCTTTATATGTTTGTGCATACCAACAGTATTACAGGGACATCATTGAAATAAATACAATTTCAGTTTAAAACATTAAACATTAGAACACAATAAAACATTATAACAATTAAAACAATGGGTACAGCTTGGAAGAGCATAAGTTGGCTATAAAATTCTGGCCTGAGAGTACAATGAGTTAAAGGTCAGTTGTCGGTGGTCAGTAGACAGGTGACAGATGGGTGGCAGCAACCTCAGGGAAGCCATAGGTGGGTGCCCCCTGCCTCAGCCAAAGGCCTGGTGGAAGAGCTCTGTCTTGAAGGTCAAAACCAGCACCTTGAAGTGAATCTGGTACTCAACTGGCAACCAATGTAGTTGGCACAGCACGTGCCTAACATGAGCCCATGCAGGCATTGACGTCAGCAGGCGCACCACCACATTCTGCACCAGTTGTAATTTCTGGATCAGCTTCAATGGTAAGCCTGTGTAAAGCGAGTTACAGTAATCAAGTCTGGAAGTGACCATTGCATGGGTCACCATTGCTAGGTCTTGGGGGAAAAGATAGGGTTTCTATCTAGTGCGCCTGCGCTGGATCAACCGGTGCAGTGGGGTTCCTGCGCTTGCCTGAGGGAATGAGCGCGAAAATCCTTTAGGAAAGAGCTTGCTACAGCACCGGTTGATCCAGCGCAGGCGCACTAGATCCCATTGGTGTGAATGCACAGATGACCACTCGAAGATCACCAGTTACTGGTAAGCAACCTGTTTTTTCAGTAGCCTGATCTTCCTAAGATGGAAAAATGCAGATCTGGCAACTGCAGAAACCTGTGCCTCCATGGAGAGAGAGGTTATCCAGTGTCCCTCCCAGACTCCTCACTCCTCACCAGTGTGGGAAGCCTGCTGCCCCCATCCAACAGCCCTCAGCCCAGGTACAGGACCTCCATCTTCGATGGACCCAGGTACAGGACCTCCGTCTTAGATGGATTTAACTTCAACCGACTCTGCCACAACCATCCAGCCACAGCATCCAAAGCCTTAGCCACGTTTGTAGGAACGGAAGACGGATGGCCATCCATTAACAGTCTTAATACAGACTAAATCCATACAATCCATCCCTCATTGTTACGTAGATAATTAAAGGAGAGCAATTGCATGAGTCCATAAAGGTTTCTCACCTCAAAAGTAAGCAGGTCACAGGCAAAAAGCCCTTTCTGAGAAGTTCTCAGTCAACGAAGTTTTCCGTATTTATAGGATTTAGAATCATCTCCTAACAGCTAACTGTCTCCCTTGATAGGGCAGACATTCTTGGCTCAGTCATTATCTTATAACTTCGAACACCTTACAAGTTTATCTAAACTTTAAAATATCTTTTTAGAATATATAAAAAATGTCACTTCATTCTCGCCACTTTCAAGCCAAATCGCAGCTGCTCACACCCAATTAACCTTTTACAGCTGACTTGAGCTCCTATTTTTGTCCTGAGGCAGACAAATTGAGGTAAGGAAGTCAGGTTCTTCAGCAACATGGAGCGGCAAGCAGAAAGAGGATTCATACCAAAAACCAGAGTATGAGATTAGGATTTGAAAGACCTGAATTTAAATCTCCACTTTGTACCTAACTTCATGTTACAAAACTCTTCAATCTTTCAGTTTATCTTGATTGCAGTAAGGCTTTTGATAAGGTTCCACATAATATTCTTGTTGACAAGTTAGTAAAGTGTGGTTTGGATCCTATGGCTGTTAGGTGGATCTGTAACTGGTTGACTGATCGCACCCAAAGAGTGCTTGTGAGTGGTTCCTCATCCTTTTGGAGAGGAGTGGCAAGTGGAGTGCCTCAAGGATCTGTCCTGGGACCTGTTTTGTTCAACATCTTTATCAATGATTTGGATGATGGAATAGATGGAATGCTTATTAAATTTGCAGATGATACTAAATTGGGAGGGGTGGCAAATACGGTTGAAGACAGAGTCAGGATAGAGGATGATCTTGACAGGCTGGAAAACTGGGCTAAAACAAATAAAATTAATTTCAACAGAGATAAATGTAAAATTCTGCACTTAGGTAGGAAAAATCAAATGCATAATTATAAGATGGGGATGACATGTTCCTCCAGATCAATGGTACAGCTATGGGCACCCGCATGACCCTACAATATGCTAACATCTTTATGGCTGACTTGGAACAACGCTTCCTAAACTCCCACCAACTCGTACCTCTGTTATATTTGGGGCCAATGTAAGCTTCATTACTAAGTACAAGTGACCAGAACACAAGGGCCAATACAACTATGGCCTTATATGTTTGTAACTGTTTGTCAGAGTTAGCAGCAAGCAGGTCCAAACACACTCTCCTGGAAAGGCTATGTTTTATTGGAATACTAGTCTGTTGCCAAGTGATACAGGTACATTGTCAGGAATAACGATGGCTGTGAGGGGCTCCATACATATACTATGATGCTGCATCTAGCTAAGCAAATGAAATCCAAGCATGCGCGCGGGAATCCTGCCGGCAGA